AGCTGGTGGTAGTGTATATCAATCTAGAAAGAAGAGGCTGTTTGGTATATTTGGATATATGCTTTTATCCTATGTCATTGCTTTATCGCCATCATACATTATTGGCAATATTATCAATGTGGACCCGAGCATTGAGTTTTAGTTAACCCACAAATCAGGATCAACATATATGTACCAGTCTCTCTAAAGGCAGGAACCTCATATCAATGAGGTGGAGCTCTGCACATCTAGGGCCATGAGCCAACAGATCTCTGAAAGAAAATGAACTGGAATCATTCTCCAGATAATTAGCAATTATACTGTATCACCAATTCACCATACTTAGATCCTACAATTGTATGCCTTGGAGCAGTAGGGATACAGCTATTTGAAACCTGAGGGCAAAGCCAAGCGCCAAACGTCGAACAGCTATAATACTTTCCGACAAAGAGGATTTAAAGTGTCCATCAAGTAATGATAGTGCATACTAGCTTGTATTGTTATGTATTGTGTTTATTTGCTGACTATATTGGCTTCAGTTATGATAGTGATGATGTGTTATCAAAGACTGATGTGTTATCAAAGACTGATTTGTTATCAAAGACTGATGTGTTATCAGAGACATGCTTGCTCACTAGCTTTTCTAAAACAAGTCTTGATCATCCTGCCTTGAAGTAATCTTGTCACTAAGGGATGCTTACCAACAGGAGATCCATCTATAGGTGGAATGATAGCTAAAAGAGTGGAACAATAGTAATTCAGTGTGAAGTATTGTAAGCCTTATTGATTTCTTAGAATTTCCAGAACAGTAATTATAGTAAGTAAAATTCCCACCACCTCCAGGGGAATTGTTTGATTTTTCTGTTCCTTTCCATTATGAAGCAAGCATAGTTCTGAAAGTGTCTTCTGAGAAGCAAATATACTCCTTTGAAAACTGCATCACTACTGGTCAACAGAAATATTTCCTATGCCATCAAAATGAATTAAGTGATCAAGAGTGCTAGACCACAACGCTATTCCTGTATTTGTAATATTTAATGCAGGGTTTCCCACAAAGCATGCTAAGCCTGAGCTAAACAACATGAGTTTCATGAACTGACAAGCACTACAGTACCATACATGGCATTTGGAGCAACTTAATTTTGATCAAAATCAGTTCAAAATTTCTACGCAACATAAGTACATGTATGTGTATCAGAAAATGGAATAAAAATGAAGAATTCTGTCCTAGCCATTTTTGATGAAATGTAGCTATGGAGTAAAAGCTTAGATTGGAATGAGCTCAAACTTTCTACATGACAATGGAACATGTATAATGTAATGGAAATTCTATCTTTGCTACATGTTTGACGAAATTTGACAAAATACCAGTGTGAGATATTTTGTCAAAATTTTGAACAACTTTAAAATTCCACTGACAACAGAAGCTGAGCAATATGCCACAATTCTGTGAAAAACCCTGGTTGTACCAGAATCAATCAATGGACAATTTTAGAATCCAGGAGAATAACCTAAAACAAAAAATTGTGCTACAATCCTAGCTATTGATGTTGGACTCCAGTAGCTAGGATCAATTGATTTTGGCAGATTGGTAACAAGTATTATACATTACTTTACACTTGGAAGAGGTTGGTCTGTCCCCAAAATCATGTAGAGTAACCAGTACAATCGTTTTATTATTATTATTATATAGGCAGTAGCCTATATGCAGGATTGAGGTTGGTTTTTCAAGATGGCGACCAGTATGCTCTACTGGTGCCCAAGATAGTAAAAATAAATAAATAAAATTAAAGGAATTAAACAAATGACTAAATGAAGGAAAATAAAATAAGAATGAGCAGACAGATAGATTAAGGAGGGTGGAGAGGTGAGGAGTTAGGAGTACACTGGATCTGTGAACACTTGGAGCAGGTCATAAAAAATGAAATGTTTTACTGGAGTTACTTGTTAGATCAAAGTTATAAGCATTTTCCTACAGACCCTCTGGTAGGTTGATGAGTTCCCAGGAAAAATTAATCTGCTATCAAATTTTCTTTAAAATTTGATAATTGGCCAATAATTTTCTGAAAAATTGTTTAGAAAATTGAAAAGTTGATTATTTTCTGGAAAATAGCATATACCTTACTGCTGGAAATTTATGCAGAAGATTAAATTTAGTGAGTTTACGAATGTATGAAAAATAAAAAAATAGATCTGCAACATAATAAAATTTATCCATGACCACAGTGCATTATACTACAGTAACTGTTGAAGCCGCAAAAATTTAATCTGCAAACCAAATTTTTTTTTAGAATTCACAAATTTTTTTCAGGAAAATTAATTGACTATCTGGTACATGTTTTTTATGTTGTGTAGAAAGTTTGGGCTGATTCCAATCAAATTTAAATTTTTTAAAGTTGCTCCAAAATCTGGCCAAAGTCCCCGTACTATATAGTACCATGGTCACAGATCAAGTTTTTGTTTTTTCAAAATTTAAAAAGAATTCTCCTTTTATTCAATTTTTTGATGCAGATACATGTTCCTATGCTGTGTAGAAGTTTGAGCTAATTCTGATCAAAATTGTATTTTTTTGCAAATTTTAAAGTTGCTCAAAAATTGGACTAAATGTGTTAGAGTGAGAAGTACAGGCTTCCACTCTAATGATTCTCTAAAGCACACCACTATCATAAAGAGAAGCTGTCATTTTAATACCTGCTCTAATACTATATACCTGCTGTAGTTACTTCTTTGTCTCCTCATTTCTTAATGATGGATATAATGTCATTCAACTCTACAGACTTTGTTCTAACTGGAGATATCAACAGTCCTACTTATGCAGCAGTTCTTGGTATTGAAGCAATCATTGGTATGATAGCTAATGTAGCAGTGTTATTAATGACACTATATCAAAAGAAATCTTGGAATCAACCATCAACAATATTCTTCACTTCTCTCCTACTGTCTAACCTCATTATTGCTCTATGGTATTTGATGTCTTCTATTGCAGTAGGAGCTGAAGAATGGATTTTTGGAAGCACTTTTGAGCAAAGGAATGCAACATGCTTATTCAATGCTTATCTGTTGTGGAGTGGTAGAATGATTGCGACAATGACATTAGCTACTGTATCTTTTGATCGGTTTCTGTTTGTTGCCAAGCCTTATTCTTACAAGCGGTTCATGAGACCACGAGTAGCTCTGATCCTGGTTATTGGTGTGTGGGTGATGAGTTCATTGATAAATACTATACCATTCTCTGGTTTTGGTGTGTATGGATATTTTTCTCTTAATGGTATTTGCACATTGCTATATGCATATTCAGGTCTCTATCTTATAATTCTTTTTGTTGTATATGCCATTATTTTTGTAATAATAGCAGTCACATCCTTTTGGACATTTTGTTTTACTCGTAGGTTCATGCAGGACCAGGCTGAAATAGCTGGCGGTAGTGTATATCAATCTAGAAAGAAGAGGTTGTTTGGTATATTTGGATATATGCTTCTATCCTACGTCATTGCTTTATTGCCATCATACATTATTGGCACTCTTAATATGTTCTATCACTTACCAGCATATGTTCACCTTGGTGTTGTTGTTGCTTATGGGTCGTTTATAACATCAAATCCTATCAT